TATATATATATATATATATATATATATATATATATATATATATATATATATCTGGTATTGCTGCTCACGAGACGACACCATTATGGATAGGCGCAGTAATGACACCACGGCTCGTGCGAAATGGCATGCTTCCCCATGTCACCTCCCCTTTTTCGTTCGTTTTTAGGTCGACTGCCACCTTTTCAAAGTGTTTTGCCAACTTCTTCTTCAGTACAGGCTCAAAAGGCCCGTCGTGGCCGTCAAACACAACACGTTCGCCGATGGGTGTACCTGCGGGTACGTCCAACAATTTTACGTCACGTGAGTCCCCATCGGTTCGCGAGGCACAGAGGACCATGCCTTCTGACACGATCCCACCAATCTTGCGCGGCTCCAGATTCGCAACGACAAGTACCAGGCGGTTCATAAGCTCATCCTGCTTCACATACTCCCGTAGGCCGCTAAGGATGGTGCGACGTCCACCCGCCGCCTCGCCGAGGTCAATCTCTTCAATATACAACTTCTCGCTCTCCAGATGCGGGCGCACGTCAACTACCTCGCCGACAACAAAGTGGCACTTAGACATGCTGCTGCCACACGTCTCCTCCCCAGCAGCAGCACTCGCAGAGGCACCACCAGCCTTTCCATCCTTCTTCTTTCCCTTCGCACCAAAGCCTTGCGGCGCTTGTTCCCGCACCACCACCTTCTGGGCGGCCCCCGGCGGTGCTCTCGCGGCGACAAGTTCCGCAATCCAGCGCTCCACGAAGGGAATGGAGCGGCGCAGAAGCGGACCTTCCAGATGCGAAGAGGACATTTTCCAAATGCACCCAACTGCCTTGTTGTTGCTGTCGCTCTTATTTTATTTTATTTTTTGATCCTTCGAGAGGAAGATTGGCACCACCTCCTTCAGACGCACACACACGCTGCCCAACAAGGAGAAACGAAAGAAGGACAAGAGATGGCATGACGGAACGTATGAGGTAACATCCAAATATAGTGAGAAAACAAAAAGATAGAAGATCCAAGTATCTCCGGCGTCAGTCTCTCTCTTCCCCTCGTTCTCTCTTCTTTTTCCTCCGGTCTTCTTCCGGACATCCACAGAGCGCATAGGCTAGCAGCACAACAACAAAAACAAAAAAATGCTACTTTGCACCAAGCAAAATATAATTTTAAAAAAAGCAAGAGAAAAAGGCACACCACGCGGTGACTCACTTGCCCTCACCCAGAAGCGCATTCACGTCCTTCAGACGTACCTCGGCAGGCACATACAACAACGGCCAGCTTCGTAGGTGCTGCGTGTTGTAGTACTTCTCCATAAGCTGAAGCACCGCCGTTGGAGTGAGTTCTTTAATCGCCGCCGCATTTTCATCTAAGGAATTTGCCGCAAGCCAGTGACGCACCCTCTCCGTGAGGGTGAGGGCGCTATAATACTTGAAGGGTCCGTGTGGTGGGCAGACCGCAATGTGTCGAAAGAAGAGCGTCATTAACTCACCGTTTGCCTCAAGAAGGGCTGCTGCCATTTCTCCTGCGGTCTCCTCATCGGTACGCTCCTGCAGTTTGGAGGCATCGATCGCCGACCGCATCTCTAGTAAAAGTCAGGTTAAATAGCGAGGAAGATAGAAAGACTCATAAAGGGGGAAGTAACTACAAGAAATATACACCCAGACCCACACACACACACAGAGAGAGAGAGAGATAAATACGTACAGACACCTTGTACAATGAACCATTGAGATGCATCCATTACAAGATATATATATATATATATATATATCCATTTTTGTTTTATACGTTATGTGCGCGTTTCCAAACGTTTATCTCCAAATTATTCGAGTAGAAAACTTGGGAGCACCACATGTAATGCAGCGGCAGAGTGCGAGAGCTCGTACCACGCATGAATAAAATGTCACCATAACATCTACCAACCACTTCTACTACTCTTCGAGTTAGCCCCATCTTTTTTTTTTCTAGTTTCCTTCTCTCCTTCCCTCCTCCTCTCCTTCCGCCCCCCACCCCCCTCCAAACATATTCCCTCTCTTAGTCTAGCCGCGTTCCTCCTAATCTTCACTGAGCAGCGTCGTCTTTCCTTTTCGCTAGTGTGGGAATCGTGGGAATCTACTGCGTGAAGAGGCGCTCACGTTGGCAGCTCGGCGGGCCATAGAGCTTTTCGCAGTGCTTCTCAAAGCTTCGCGTCATGAGCGTCACCACGTGGGACATGATAAGTTTGGAATGTAGTGGATTTTTAAAGGCAAAGCTGACGAGAAATCGCACCTCCACCTGCCGATTTCGCCCTGGCACGGGGCTAAACTCCCAAACACAGTTCAGGTCGGAAAGAACAGGAGTGCGGCACTTCTTTTCATCCTCCTTGAGAACAGCCTGCACCATCTTCTCCGGGACAAGCAACACCCGAGAGGTATACTGCTCCTTAAAAAAGGAGAATCCCACCGTGAGGGTGGCAAACATTTCAAAAACTCGACCACTGCTGCCACTAGTGCTACTACCAGCAAGATCCTCTACTCTGTTGCTGCAATCGTCAGCGGTAAGTTCACTCTTGATGACATCGTCGAGGCGCCTTACTTGGTGCACGGTGGAATCTACGCACCATGGGAGAAAGGTACTGTACTGCGCGACATCTGCGACAACGTGATAGAGGTCAGCAGGGGACCAGCCAAGCACGCAGTGCTCTGTATACTCCTGTCGCAATGTCCCTGACGGGGACGCTACAGAGCCACCGTTATTATGTATAGGAGGAAGGTTCAGCGCATCTACCACCAATGATGCCGCAAACCTCGCTGGTGTCGGAACGTACTTGGAAATTGCCTCGGGTGACAAGAAGCCAGAGTGAGCGTGCTGAGGGCAGGAACAGTGCTGCTGTAGTTCGGCGTGACTGGCATCTGCACCCCTGTCGCTAAGTGGCGCCGCGGTCTGAAACGATACGGCTGCGCCACTTACATGCGGTGGCGGTGACGAGGCAGACGGCGGCCGCGGTGCTCGCGAAGGTGTTCCTGCTTTTGGCGACGGTAACGATGGCATGGCGTGCTTGTTCACACCACCACCAAAAAACGGCTTCGCGTCGGATGCTGCAGGTGCCGGTTTGAGTTCCGGAGGAAGCGGCGGCCGCAGCGGCGTGAAGAATGAGCGCCTCCCGCTTAGAAGAATATAACCACCCATCGCACCCCAGCAGCCAACAAAGGCCCTCATTTTACGACACAAATGCTTGCGCCGCCCCCCCGCTACTTCACCGTTCCTTCAGCGACTCGTTTACTCCCAACCGAGTCCTTCACCTACAGCCACGCTCTCTGCCCACCACCACACGCCACACGCAAGATGCAAAGGAAAGGACAGAAGGAGAGAGTTATCAGAAAAAAGGAAAAAAGAAAAGGGTAAGTAAATCAGAGGGAAAGATAAAGGGGGAAGCAGATGCACCAGGTTTTTTTTTTTGTTCGCGCAGCATATCCCTCCACCAGACGCGGCACAACACCCATGGCAGAGAGCCATGGACAATGTTTGTTTGTTCGGAAAAAGGCATTGATGGAGAGTCATAACTGTACCTGTGATAAAAAGACAAGTACACAAGCGCAGATGAAAAACTCCCCCTCCCTCACACACACAAACTGTGAAACAACCGAACACAAAGAGAGGAGAGATGTGCGCGCATAATATCCACCAGACAATAAGGCGGGGTCCAAACTTCTACTTACAAAAAGAAGGGAATTCAAAGATGCGACCGCTCATGCATGCTTGATATATATAAATATATAAATATTTCTTTCTTTTCGTTAAATCAGCAAAGCGAACAAACACAAAAAAGAAAAAGGGCCAAAGTATCGCTCATTTCCCTCCACATTCCTGCTTCTTGTCATTCTTCATAAGCAACAACCAAAAAGTTGATGAAGTTAGGAAATAAACGCAGAGACAAAAAAAAAAAAAAAAAACTGTAGTACCCACTTTGTCTGATTTGCTTCAGACAGATTCAGAGCATGCATGAGCCCGTATACATATATGCATGCATACATCTACATAAGGATACATACATAGATGTAACTAATTTCCTCTGTGTAGCCCACACAAAGAGTGGTAGTGCCGGTGTGAGACTCTTCACTGTAAACCTACACGACTACG